GCCGCCGGCCCCCGGCGCGCGCGCCCCGCGCGTTTCTCTCTTGCGCCTTCTTCGCGTGCCGGCCCCCGGGGGAGCAGGTGGCCTGGAGGCGGGACACCCCTGGCTTCGTCCGTCTGGCGGCTTGGCTTGGGACAGAGCCCCGGCCTTTCCCTGCGCCCTCGCCACCGCTCTCTGGGCATGGGCGCGTACTGGGAGGGCCACCCGCAGCGGCCTCCAAGCCGGCGGCTGCTGTCTGTGACGCGGCTGCTGTCTGTGACGCGCGCGCCGCGAAGGCCACACCTAGGCCAGGTGCTTACGCGCCGGGAGGCTTTGGGGGGACAGAAGAAACGTGTGGAAGAGGGTCCCTGTCTTCGGAGATGGAGTTGAAGGGACGCTCCTAACGCCTAGCTGAAAATTAGGGCTAGACGTGGGTCTGTTTCATTCCTGCGACAGTTGGCGGCGCTCTTCTCCAGCGTGTGAAGACAACGAGGAGGCTTTAGTACCTGACCAGGTGAACGGCAGGTGATTGGGCGGGGCCAGATCTTGAAAGTAGAATGATGTGTGTGTGTGTGTGATTTTTTTTTTTTGCCATTACTAACCAAAGTTGTGTGACCTGAGCGACATGTGAGCATTTAATAGGCAAATGGTGGTCAGACCCTCCTCGGGTGGCTGGGCGGGCCAGGTTTTAATGACAGCGCCTGCGTCCCAGTCACCGGCCACTCCGAGGTGTCTCCACATAAACCATAAACGACGGGACAAAGCCCACGAGGTGATTGTCAACAGAGTAGGAGCGGCAAGCTTCGAGAACTCAGGGACAGTGACGACCTGCTGATGGAAGTGGCAGGAAGTCTTTGCAGACAAGGCAGGATCTGAACTTTGCAGGATAGACAATAATTTTTTCCCCAGGAAAAAAAAGAGCATAAAGACATTCTCATCAGAGGCTAGAACTCTGAGAATAAGGCAGAGAGGAGCAGGAGGAACGAGGCACACATTCTGCGTTTTAAAAAATTGTTTTAAACCAAAAGACTTCTGCTTTGATCCCTCATCCCCTGTTCAGGGCCTGGGAACCCCTAATAAACTATAATAACCGCTGAAATGTCCCTATTTTAATACAGAGGCCATGGCTGTCCCTCTAATAAGAAGCCTATAAGATGGAAATACAGACATTGTCTCACTTTTCCAGTCAGACACAAAACCATGAGAAGTGGCCCCAAAGAAACAGCAACATTCTCAAAAAGCAATGTCGATTTGGGGACAAATAATTTTTTTCTTTAATATCCAGTTCATATGGTTTAATACTCCTTGCGAACAACTTAGCCTTGTCCATTCCTAGAAGTGACACAAACCAACATCTTGCTTCAGCGGCCTCAGGGAGGAATCTCACGAAAGTTTGACGTCTACGTCGTGCCATTTTGAAGGAACCAATACGGAAGCGTCTATGCACGCAGGAGGAACACGGCACAGCCTCTCCAGTTAAGGGAGAGCAGATTGGGGTGTCAGTTTGGTACAGTAATTTGCAAGCCTTGCCATTTCAAAAATATATATTTATATATATGTATATATATATATGTATATTATACTCACATACATATATATATATGTATGTGAGTATAATTTGCAGAATTTAGAAGCTGCACCTTTGCCAAGTACTGTGTGATCCCTCGAGGAGAGAACAGATTGGAAATTTTAATAGATGGCAGTTACAGTAGCGTGAACTAGCTGGGGATACATCCTAAGCAACACTCAGGTAATACTAAGCTTGACAATTTCAGCCCAAGTACGGAGTTTGGAATATAAACAGCATTTAATTGCCTAGGAAACTGGTTGCCTCAGAGAAGGAATCCACTCCATGCTCCTTATAATGCTGCAAAACCAGGCGGGAGGAGCCGTGGAAACTGTTTTTCGGAAGATGATGGCATTGCCGTGGGCATATGAAATGCAGTCAGGACCCGAGGTGAAGCAGCCTGGCTCAGAAAGGACATGGAAAGGCCATCGGAAAATACCTAATTGGATTTGATTTTTTTTTTTTCCTCCCCTGAGGAATCTTGCGTCTTATGTTTATGACAGACATTTCCCCCATTTTACATCATACTTGTTTATTTTTGCAATTTTTTTTTTAAAAATCAGCTCTCTCCAGCAAAATCTGTGCAAGCCGCGTCTTGATTGTAACCCCCAAGTGCCTTTATTTCCTGCCGAGTGCCAAAACCACGCACATAGTAGATGCTCAGTAAATGCACGCCTGCCTCTGCTCCTTAGCTGTTTGGATCCGTGAGCATGTCTTGTTTCTGGCGGGTCTTGCTGCCCGGCGTGACCGCTAGTGTGAGGATGTGACGTGCTCCCAGCTGTCATTCCGGGCACTCCACAAGTGTTTGTTGAGCCCTGTACCACGTGCCTGGCACCATGCTGAATATGGGGGTGGGGGAAGTAGGGGATTCTAGGGGGACACGGAACACAAACCCCTGCCACACGCAGTGAGCGTTTCTTGGGTGATGGCAGTGATTACAAAGCACCCGTACCGCGGCTGGAAGTTCAAGAGGCCGTCTCAGGAGAGACAGACACCCCTGGCCATGCAGAAGGGTGAAAGCGGGGGAGACCTTCTGCATTCTGGTCACCCCGCATTCGGTGGCCACCGGGCCTTCTGAAGTCAGAAGGATCATGGTGTTGTAAATGCGTGGTGTCTAAGACCCAGAGCACCCAGATCTATTACGTTAATATAAATCTGGAAAAGAAAAGAAAATTAGCGGGCGCCCTGCTGGTTAAATAGACATTATTCTGAGACAATTTACCTTAATGAGGACTGACTGGGAAGTAACAGGTCACAGCCCCATCGGTGACCACGTGGCTTTGAGAGAGTGCGGAGGAGCTCGATGGCAGCATAATTGCGCTTCATCAGACACTGTGGCACCAGGCAGATGAGGTCATGAACGTTGGCGTGTCCGACACAGACCGACCGCCCCCGGAGGAGCCCTGTGTTGGGATGGCAGAAGGAACACATTGATCAGACACCAAGGAGAGATGTTACCCGATTCCCGGGGGTCTCCTGGCAAGAACACCTGAAAGCTTTCGTGTACTTTTAACTCCCTTCAGAAAGCGTCACGCAATCCTTCTTCATGTGGTGACGTAAAGAGTTTTTCTCTGCACCCAGTGAAGTTCTGACCGAGCTTTGCAAGCAGTAGTACCCTTGGGGTTTGCTGATGTCCCGGCCACAATGCCAGCCCCCTGGGATGAACACTGACACTTTTCAGAGCACGAGATTCGGGTTTGAGATTCGGGTTTGCGTGGGGAGCGGCCCGGGGTCAGCCTGCAGGAAGGGGAAGAGGTGGAGACAGTGTCCATATTCATGGTGCTAAGAATGTAAAACTCGATAATACTGTGAGCTAGGTGGCAGTCCCATCAGCTAAAAGCCAGGCTCCCTTCTTAGGGCCCGGGGACACTGTAAGCGAATCACATCCATGGGCATTTTTAACCGTCATGGAGGGAAGGCCGGCCGCTTCGCTAGGAAGCATTTTGCTTGACCCCAAAGCAGGAATAATCAGTGCATTGTCCTATTGCCACCCCCCCCTTTAGTTTTGATATTTTTACAGGTACTAAGTAGGTAGGGAGGGTGTGTGTGTGTGTGTGTGTGTGTGTGTGGTGGGGAAGGTTAACCACGTATATAGCCTCTTACACTATCCAGGATTCAGAGGACAGGTAAGGTGCCACTCCTTTTTGACAGTCAATCGAGCACCCAGAAAATGGAGACCTGTTTCGGGATGTCCATGGTGTGGGGACACTGAGGTTTTAGGAACATGGTGGTCACGATGCTTTGGCCATCCTGGGACTCCCACTCTGCTGGCATCAGTGTGTGTCTGTGCGCCGTGAGCTATTTCCGGCTGTCGTAGAAGCCAGAAAGCGGTGACAACCATATAGACACATCACTCTGTGTGTGTGTGTGTGTGTGTGTGTGTACACGCGTATGTGTGTCCCCATTTCTTTGGAAAGAAAAGCGTTGTAGAATGTGTTCTTTTTCCTCTCGTTCTCGATGCGTTTTCTTCAACCACGGAACTACCCGCCTTGTCATTTCTTTAATGACCTGCCCCAGATCCGGGTGCTGGAGCCCACCTAGGTTTTCCTATTCATCGTTCATGGCCTGTTATCCCATCTGCCGTTCTGAAATTCAGGGCCAGAGCTCCCTCTGCACACACAGGAGGAGGAAAAACTGCTTACCAATTGGATTCCTTTTCCCCTTTATTACCTGGATGTCGATTTGATTAAAGTTCACCAAGTGCCCACCTGCTGAGACCGGGGCCCTGCTTTGCGGAGCTGACAGTTCAGTGGGTGCCAACATCCGCCGTGGCAGCGAAGTCACGGCTGCCTTGCAAATATCAAGAGAACACGTCCCAGTGATTCCTTTTTAACTCTTTCATTAATGAGGGAATCGCTAAGAAATTAAACCTGGTTCAAAAGAGAGTTTGCTTTATAAATATTTCTCTTTTCTCCTGGACAAAAATTGATTTGCATTGTTATAGAGAAGAATGACTTGTGTTGTTATCAGTTTTCCCCAATTAATGTTCTGTCTCTACAACGCCGTAAAACAGCCTAGTCAAAGACAGTTGGAGGTTCACGCCCCCGGGGAGTCAGGTGACCAAGGGCACTGGACAGCATTCAACAGAATGCCTGGCATTCCGGTGACCTCTGCGCCCAGTCCCAAGTCTTTCTTTCTTTTTTTTTTTTCCCCCACATTGTTTTTCCCGGATGGGGGTGACAGATGTTCAGCAGCTATTCTTGAAATGGGGTGTGGGGTTTGGGGACAGGGATTCCCAAAGCTCCTACAAATCACATCAGATCTTTTCACTATTTTCCACTGTCTCAGCTGCACATTTCCATTTCAGGTTTTCATGATCTCTTCACTTAGACGGGCTCCTAACCAGTTTCCCTGGCTTTCTTTCATTGAGGATTTCTCCCAGTGCTTCTCAAATTTTAATGTGCATATGAATCACTTGGAGTAGAATGCAGATTCTGAGTCAGAAGCCCTGAGTAAGAGTGAGTCTGCATTTTCAACAAGCTCCCAATGGAGGCTCATGCTTGTGGTCTTTGAATAGCAAAGACTTATCCAGATTCGATTTTTTCTAATGCCTACTAGGGGCCAGGTGCCCAATAAACATGGAAGAGAGGGAAAGGGAGGAGGCTCACAGAGTCCGAAGGAACCAGAAATGCATGGAGATGGGTATGGATTCAGGTAGTGACACTGACGTGTGATAGATAATCATTATATTACTTACTCCTCACAGAGCCAAAAGATGGTTATTGCCTTCTCAGAATTAAAAATGCTTTCAAGAAGATGTGCAGGTCGTTTGATAAGCAGATCAGCACCTTTACTATAGAAGCAGAGCCATGGCAATGACCTCAGAGGCCCGAAGGAGGAAAGGACCCACCGGCTTATGTGCCATGAGAACATTCATCTCTGGCAGACAATGTGAAAATACTCTTGAAATCAAAATGTTTATTATGAACCGATGTTTCCCAACCTAAGGCCATTGAATTCGGGGCTTTCGAGTGTTAAATCTCTGTAAATCTATTAGAAATAGAGTGCAACGAGCTATAGACAGACTGCAAAGGGAAACACTCAGAGGGACCCGAGATCGAAATGTTTTTTGGAAGTTTTATTCTCATGTTAGCCTCTCAAAACTGGAGACAGATCCATAAACCAGCAATGAATGGTACAGAGTGGCTAGTGCTTTAAGAGCAGGATACGTAGGGAATTGTGGAAACACAGCAAAGGGACACCAAATTTTTCTTAGGGTGACACTGTGGGAGAGGGATGTCTGCACATTGAGTTTCAGACCGCACCCGTGTTCAGAGCTATGCCCCAGCTTGTTCGCAGGAAGCGTTTGGATTTCTCCCAAGTGCGTCGGAAGTGATTTTTGCAAGCAGTGTTCATTTCTTTACACACGAATCGCTTTAGTAACGCTGCAGTCTAAATCCTGTTTCAATGAGTATATATTGTTTTCTGTTCTTCAGTGATCTTTTCACTGAATACTAAATTGACTTTACAGGTAGATATTGACAGTGACCACTGCCAGTCAGTATACCTCCACGGCCACGTGGGGAGAGACACTGGCTGGGTCTTAATGGAAAGGCACTTCCTACCAGGCAGCGGATATTGACGAGGCTTAGCGATCATGCTTGAACACATTTTTTTTTTTTACGTTTAATTTGAAATTCAGTATTTCAGTCATTCATCGACCTGCCAGTTTCAGAAAGTTCAGGAAGGAGGATGAAATTGGGAGTTTTCAAAACTATGTACTTTTCTTTTTAAGCTGCTGGAATTCTGTCCATTACTTGTTAAAATGATAGAAAGTCTCTTGCCGACTTAGTTTTTAAATTGTACATTTTCACTTTTTAATTCTAAGAATGCCGTTTCTTGCTCTGAAAGCCTTTGGCTAACTATCATCTGCTCGTGATCTTATGCTCTGGGTCTAGGAGTGAAGTACGATAAAATTTGCTTTTTAGATCATTTGAGCAAACATACATTTTATTCCTGACAGTAAATTAGGATATTTATGAACTGAGTGACCACAAGCAAGGTCAGAAAAACTTCCAGCTTGCCAGGGAAAGAAAGATGAAACAGTCTGTCTGTCTGTCTGTCTGTCTGTCTCTCCCTCCCTCCCTCCCTCCATCCCTCCCTCCCTCTCTCCCTCTCCTCGTAAGCTCGATAACAAAAATGTTCCAGATTTTTCTTTCTCTATATCCTGTAGAGATGAAAGTCACAGCAGCAAAGGGGGAAAAATGGCTCATGAAGTCAGTGTTCTCTTTTTTGTTGTTATTTTTTAAGACGAAGAGAAGATTTCGTATAAGCGTTAGGTTTATTTCTGCTGTCCTTTCGGAGACCCATTCTTCTGACGGATATTGGCAGGGCGAGAGGTAGAGAGTGTGAGGGAGGCGGAATTTATTCTGACTGTAACGGCTGCAGTGGGTCTCTCACGAGCATAATGCTAAATTATGGGCCTCTCCATGGGCTGAACGGAGTGTTAAGTTGTGTGATGGATTTTATCTTATACGAGCCGCCCTGGTCCATGAAATGAGATACGAAACACTATAGCCGGAGTTCGCTGACAGTTAAACTTAGACCGAAATTCCGGAGTTGACAAAATGGTGCAAGCCAGCTATGATGCCGAAAGGGCGCGTTGTAGCCTGGTCTGGGGGAGTGGGGGGTGGGGAGGGGCGGTG